ACACACATACAGTATATATTTTGAAAATACTTACATGTATTTCCATGTCTATATTTATATTCATTTATATATACATTCAATATCTAAACATGACATATTTATCTGAAATGCATACATGCATGTGTGTGTATTTTATATACATAATAAATATACACAGCACACATACATATATTATGTAAACAAAACTTTTATTTTGGATGCGATTGTTAGTGTTGAAGGAATGTTAGTGTTGAATAATCCATAACCAACCTTCTCACAGCATATAATTATGGCATGATTAGCATACGTTCAAGCAGCCACAGAGATTGCATAAAATTGTATGGAGCAACCAAACGCAAACCTACACAAAGACACAACAGAGGACTAGAATGCACTTTATACGTGCAAATTACAAAATGACAGAGGTACCCGCTCTCCACTTTGCTTTGCTTTTTCTACTGGCCCCGGAACAAAGCATAGGGAGAGGTAGAAACATCAGGAACATTAAATGCAGGCATCTTGGCCAGACCCAACCACAACTTCTCCTCTAAACAAGAACAAACAGCCACAGTAACATAACAGGTCCTTCAGGCTAAAGACATTTGCACATTGAAGCAACAACTTATCCCCTTTGAACCGAGCGAATGAGAGAGACGGTGCAAGCCAGGATGTCTATTTTTCCCTGGCACACGTTGGCGGTGATTTAAGCTGTTGCACTGCAAAGTGTGTATTGTTCAAGGACGCTTTAATGATGGGGAGTTCTGCAATTGTCCTTCAAATTACTCTCACACGGACATTTAGGGTCTGTTCTACCTTTCTCTTGCCTGAATTTCTGCTCTTAAAGGAATAGTTCACACAAAAATCAAAATTCTCTCATTTACGCTCATGTCATTCAAAACCTGTACAACAAACGTTCTTCCACAGAATTCTAAAAATGAAATTATGAAGACTGTTTTCCATGCTCTGGTTTTTCTGTGCAATTACAATTAAAGAGACTAAAACATGCTGGGGAAAAAAAAGCAAAACCATAGTAAAGGTGGTCAAATATGCTGTGTTTTAGACATGATGTGTGAGAAACAGACTGAAATTCATGTCATTAATCACTGACAACCGTGGCTAACAACTCTCTGGAGGTAAGGCTGCACAATTTGGAGAAAAAAATGGAATTGTGATTCTTCTGACATGAATTGCATTTTAAAATGTGAAAAAAATCGTATACGTATGCTGTGCTTGTTTGTAGATATGCACAACTTTTGACCATATAACAAAATGACAATAAAATAATAAGATTATCTATTATTTTTGTTTGATATTTTATTTAGTAGTAATAATAATTATTCATTAATCATAATCATAATAATAATTATTGTTGTTGTTGTTATTATTAAATAAAAATAATACTACTAAATAATACATCACATAATTAAATAATAGAAAAATAATAATAATAATTATTATTATTACAATATATTTTTTATAGGTTTGGGAAGATGGTTGATTTTACATGTTGCGTTTATCAGTAAATAAAAACTTACATTTCAGTCTGTTTCTCAAAAAAAAAACATCATCTGGTTTCAGAAGACCAGAATATAGTCACATGGATCACATTTATGATACTTTAATGGTGCTTTCACATCCTTTTTGAAGCCTGAATGCTTCAATCCCCATTCATTTTAATTGCATAGATGAGAGAGAACAACACAGTTTTTAGAAAGTTTCCTTATGTGTTCCGTGAAAGAAAAAAGGTTTGGGATGACAAAAATGTTTGTAAATGATAACAGAATTTTCATTTTGGGTGAACTAACTATCCCTTCAGTATTCTAGGCTTTGCCTTTTCATGAAATCTCCTCTGCTAACTATTGCACTACAGTATGCCCAGCATTATGACAAGAGCAATCAGAAGAACAAGAAAAATTACTTACAGGGAGGACCATAACTACTGTGGCTTAACTAATGCAAAACAAACAAGATACAAACCATGCAAAACCTTAACCTCTGACCTCCCTCTCTAAATCAAAGAGTCGTGAGTCATAGCAGGGTATTTTAAGGTAAGTGTCCTCTAGGTTCGATTTAGCGTGAATTGCATAACATTGGAAGTAGCATGGGAAAATTCACATCTAACGCAGATCATGCATTGCAGCTGTTTGCAATATTATCATAGCATATGGTCTTCATAACATTACAATCCCCTTTATTCTGTCATGTCCATTTGAGCTGTTAAATCGTAGCTTATTGGTTTTGGATCACATAAAAGGTTCTGCAAGTGAATGTACACTTAAAACACATCTGGGTTTTGGTACATTCTAGGGTGGAGGGAACAATCCTCTACCCATCTCTACAAAACATCCCAGGATACATAAATTAGACAGCACGTATGCTCCTACAAAAACAAGCAGTAATGGATTCTATAGACCAAGATATACAATCATTTCTCTCAAGGTTTGGAAAGCAGCAGTTAAACTCACAAGTTAAAGTATAAAATTACAATCAGTATAATCTTTAGAATCATTAACGTAATTATTTAAACACATTTCAGATATTATTATTAGGATTATTTAAACAACTTTAGAACTAAAACTACATTCAGAAGAAAGATAGTTTGTAGGTGGTTGCTTACAGGCCAAAAAAATAAAAAAGCAGTGTGACACCCATGTATATGGGATATTATTTTGCCTCTTTTTAACATCCACCAGGTTAAAATCGATACTATGCATACTATCCATCCTAACTAGTATTCAAAATTAAAACTAGTGTGTATCAAATCTTAAAATGTTAAAATAAGTATTCCAAAAGTACCTGGATTGTTTACTATTTCAAATGGAAATTTGAGGTGCTGATCCGTGCACACTCTAATGGCTAATATTGCCCACAACCCACTGCGTGTTGGACAAGTATTCAATTAGAACTACAACCACACATAAAAGTGTTAAAAACTACAAATATAGTGGACATACTGTAATGCAACAATTAGAGAGGGGGTTTAGGTGATCAATAATTGATATCCACCCTGATGAAAATATATTTATTTAATGTGGTCCACGTTATGTTTTATCTATAACATCATAGTGAACTTTTTATACCGATATGTTTGGTCATTAACTTTGCATCGTTAACTTTGTATCAAATGAATCATTATGCAAACACTCTCCAAATGAAGAGAGTTCTCAGTATGAAAGACCCGCATGCAGATCAATGTGCTACTTCATTTCTTTCCAATACGGTAGAAAAAATAATAAATCCTGCACACTATACGTACTTGCAAATGTATCAAAAATAGCGGTCACACTTTATTTTAAGGTCCAATTCTCGCTATTAATAAACCATTAACTATGACTTTTGCCTCAATAAACTCCTAATTTACTGCTTATTAATAGTTAGTAAGGTAGTTGTTAAGTTTAGGTATTGGGTAGGATTGGGGTGTAGAATATGGTTATGCAGAATAAGTGCTTTATAAGTACTAATAAACAGCCAATATGTTATTAATAGGCATGCTATAATAAGCAACTAGATAATAGTGAGAATTGGTCCCTATATTAAAGTGTTACCAAAATAGCTCTATGCCTGAAATATGCCTGATGAAGGTCATACGACCAAACCATTGGGAGTGAATAAATAAATTTTTTATACATTTGCAAGCATGTATAGTGTGCAGGATTGTTTCTTTTTTGTTTTGATGTTGGACCTGTTTTTTGGTCGTTTTTCCTACGCACCTATTGATCACCTACAGGTGTGCGAGGGTAATTGTTATTGATATCTCCAATATGGTAGGAAATTAAATTAGACAAAACATAAAGGATGTTAAATGTGAAACATGACTGACAGGGCAGTTTAAACAGTGACAGAATGCATGCAAGTAGTATGTCCCAAAGCCTGTATACTTCTCTTTTACACACTCAAAAGTATGTACCTTTTCTTCACTAAAAGAGTACATACTTTCAGGGCAAAGTATAAGTAGGTGAACTGGGACGCAGCATTATAGTAACAAGCCACTTGACTTACTAGTCAATAGACTTCATAGTACAAACAAAGCTGTACCCAAGTTTAATACTCATGGTATGAGCATAAATAACAGTGTTGCTTGTTTTAGCGAGCACCACTAATTACAATTATAATCCATGATTGAAAGTAAATATCCATTCCTCCATTCCATCTAATTTATTTTTATACCTCACCCACTTTACATCACTGTCAAAAGAAAGTGCATACAGAGGATAAAGTAAGCCGTACCTGTGAATATCTCCTGCCCGAGTACTGGGGAACGGCCTTCTTTCCCGTTCAGACAGTGCTGGGAGGTGGCAGGACAGTGGGGATGCTGGGAAGGGGCGGGGCCATGAAGATGCTGGATTGACAGACATTCGCTCAGAGCTTCTGATTCTAAATGGGGGCAGGCCCTTAACTGTCAATCAAAAATATAAGCAATTAAAAGACTAAGCAATAAAAATAGAGTGTTGAAAGGAGGAATCCACATTAAAAACATGTGGAACGTCTGTTCCAGAGTGTGATGGTGTGAAAGAAGAAATGAAGAGAGTCGCACTTGTGTGAAATGGACTGGGCCCAAACAAAAGACTTAAATAATAATAATACTAAAAAAACACATCAGTCTGTGGTGACATCCCACACCAGCCAGCAAAGGAAATGACAAGCTTAGAGAGGAACGATTTTTCACCGCAAACAGGAACCTTTGATTGGAAACATGAGGGGATGAGGGGAAAGACATACCCCAACATACACATCGCCCTGAGTACAGGTTGGGACGCCACTCTACCAGCTACAGAGAGGTGGAGGGGTATCTTTTGCTGGTGAGATTAGATTGCAAGGCTGATTTTTCCCTTCGCAAGGTCTGGCAGTAATCATGCGTTATATGCGACATTTGTTTAGAGTTTGGGGAGTCATATGTGTTTAGGACTTTTAGACTGATTTTGAAAGCTCGGATTGTAGCATGGAATTATGTTTAACTGGAAAATTATCTTCGGTCACATGAATTTGTGATGAGTGGACTGAATCTGGAGACGATTCCTCGCAATAAACAATAGCCGAAATGAGCCATGACATGCAACTTGAACGTGTTATATTATTTTAATTCCACTGCAATTAAGATCTTCAAAATAAAAGCTCACAAACTTGTGAATTAGATATAAAACAAACACGTTTTAATTACACGCAAACTGGCAAAAGAGCACAAACCGCACGTTTTTCATTTGAGATCTTGGTTGAAATCGTCCCAGCCATTCGTAGCGTGCTATAACAGGCGTCGCTCGCGATAGATGTAGTGGGAGTGTTTGTTTGACATCAGCTCACAACATCTGGCCACTGGGATATAGCGTTGCACAGCTTATTAACAATGGTACACGCTCACATGTGTTTCCGCTTACAACGGCAAGCAAGAAGAACGCATCAGTCAGCTGTCGTTTAGACCAGTGCAACAATGAGGCCATTCTGCTTATAATTACCCACTTTAATGAGGAATGCACTCTTCACCATGTAGATGCTGAAATGTGGTCAGAGTTGATCTATTGTTGGGGAAATTATTTTCAAAGACAAACCTAAGTAGAACCAACTGCATCAAGCCGTGAAAAAGACACAATTGACCATGAAAAATATCTGCTAGAAATGTTTCTCAAGGCTGATGGCAAGAGCCAAAAAGCTAATTGTATTCTGATGTGCTGATGAGATGAGTTGAACAGAGACAATTCTAAAAGAGAGAGAGATATTACGTTTTTACCCTTACCTTCCTACGCACCTGCTGCTCTTTGGCGGAGTGGATCTTCACATGCTTACGGAGGGAACTGGGGTCTGTGTAGCGTTTAGTGCAGCCTGGGATCTGACACGCATATGGTTTCTGAAACAGGAAATGCACAATGAGTCTGAGAATCATAATTATACGCAGTTCAGCTACAAAGAGGACACAGAAACACACTGCTATGGACACAAAGACCACAAAATCATTACATCATGACAGCGTTTATAATTGAGTAGCTATAATTATATTTTGGAACAGTGCACAACATTTATGAACAGACATGGAAAGTAAAAATACATGACAATTTCGACAAGCAACTATTTTGAACTCCCAAAACAAATGTTGTGTTTTTATTAATGAAAGTCTATATAAAGTCATTAATTCTGCATTAAATTTATAAATATAAAAGACATTTAAAAAATGTGTGTGATAAAATGTGATTCACTGTCTACATTTCAAACCTGGAACTGAACATTTTATTTAAATCTGATAGATAATAAATAGTAATAAAAAAATTAAAGGGGTCATATGATGTGATTTCAATTTTTCCTTTCTCTTTGGAGTGTTACAAGCTCTTGGTGCATAAAGAAGATCTGTAAAGTTGCTAAGACTAAAGTCTCAAATCCAAAGAGATATTCTTTATAAAAGTTAAGAGTCAACCACGCCTACCTAAAATGGCTCGTTCTAACACGCCCCCACATGTCTACATCACGATGTGGGAAGATTTGCATAACGCCGCCTAAATGTTCACGCAAAAAAAGAAGGCGTAACTTTAATTCTTGCTGTTGCCGCTGCTGCCATGTTGTGGAGTCGCTGTGTGTTTCGTTGTGAAAGCGAAACTACTTTGTTTGGTCTTCCAAAAGAGGACACAACCAGAAATCAGTGGTTAAGTTGTATTTACAGCACTGTTCCAGAACAGTTCAACCCAAATATTCAGATGTGTGCTGCGCATTTTATGGAGGATACGGACTGTTTCCTGAACCAGTAGCCTACAATGCGTCTCTGGCACAAAGGCTGTTTCTATAAAGTTGGGCAGTTCCAGCTTTGCAAGGACAGTCTGGCGCTTCTGACTCACAGCCTGTAAGTACGTTTTTTATATTTAAATAATTTGTCACTGATGATTCAAACGCGAGTTTTGAGCCGTGTAGAGTAGGCTTGTTGTTTCTTGTTTCTCCGATCACAAATGCAGACATGGTTTTATGTTTACGCAGCGCGATACGCAACACGTAAAAAGACAGTATAAATCATTATAATCAGTAATTATGTCCCCACTGGATGCAACAAATGCCTCATTTGTAATGGGTTTTATTGGTTTTGTCTCGTCCTGCTGGGAGACGGCATCACAGTATGCTAAGGGGCATGTTTTTTTAACCTTAAACCGCATAAACATATTGCATTAGACCAATTACACAAAATAATGTTCTTTTTAGCAACGTCATATGACCCCTTTAATATTCTGCACTATATAGGTTACTAATGTCAGATATGTTGGTAACACTTTCTATGAAGCCCGTATTTATAATGGGTATTTATAAGGGTATTCTTAAGGCATTATAATGAATGCATAATGCATTATAAAAAACCTTATAATATGTTGTATCATCTCATGAATATTCATAAGAACAGTTTTAATATATTATAATATTTACTTATTTGTGGTTATAGCTTTTAAGAGTATGATGATTTATAACACAATGAACACGTTGCATCCACTTTTACAATGGATTATATTTCTCATAGTTATAATGTATTATAAATCTCATATCTTGCCATTTTTCATATGCTACTTTACTTAAAGCGGTCAAAGACCACTTATTAGTAATAATAATAATAATAATAATAATAATAAAAAAAATTATCTCAAACAGCCATAAGATCAGATATCAGATCAGATGAATGTGTAATATGACACATTTGCTTTGAACTTTTTTTATTGTAATATCAGTATGAATTTGTTTTGATGGTACCCTTTAAACAGCTGTTGATAAGTAACTCTGCAACTACATATCAACTAGCGGTCATTAGAGTATCAGTATGTCTGCTACTGTAAATATTTGCTAACACTTTATTTTGATGGTCAACCAACAGATAAACTGACTATAAGTGTCTTTGCAAGTACGTCAACTTATTCTACCATACTAGATTCTACCATTCTTGAGCATACTAATACTCTAATGAGAGTTAGTTGGCATGTAGTTGCAAAGTTGCTTATAGTCGATTGATTAAGGGGGCCATCAAAATAAAATGTAACCATATAAAACATTGCATTTTTTTCAGTTGGAGTATAAAGCTCACATCAGTTAATTAACATTAGCTCCACAGGAAACACTCAAATAACACTCAACATCTAACCACTCACAAGCTGTAGTAAGATACTGTGCAGATCTTAAATAAACAATGTCAAGATATGATACAGTCCATTATTCTGTAAATGAAGTAGATTTGATATGGTGTTCATTGTGTGTTATAAATAATCATACTCTTAAACGTATAACCACAAATACGTAAGTATTATGATGTATTATAACTGTTGTTATGATTATTTATGAGTTGATATAACATATTATACGTTTTTTTTATAATGCATTATGCATTCATTATAATGTCTTAAGAATACCCTTATAATGTATTATAAATACGGGCTTCATAGAAAGTGTTACCGATATGTTTTTTCTTCATTTAAATTTGTGTTAAATCAGACAAAAATTGACTTTTGAAACCCACTGCATAGGCCTACTTTTTTTCAGCCTTAATATTTACACTTTCAAACTGTGTGTAAATGGACAAACACAAGTGCATTAACACTGTTTGTTTTGAGAGTTTATAAATAGTCAAAGTTTAAGAGGAAAGACAGTATCCTACCTTTCAGCTGAGAGGACATAGGAAGAAGAAAAGAAGAATACAGATTGTTCGGTAAATGTCAGACAAGCATACAGGCACTGTACAAACACTCATTTACTGGTTTGCAGGTAACAAACTACTATGCCAGTTTTATATTATTTTGCATTTTCTCAGCGTTAAAGTGTTTAAACATGTACATTTTAAGATATATATCAATGTGCCCATGATTCTCAGTGGTAAACTTTACTGAAACACTCTCACTCGGTCCAAAACATGCAGTGGTGATTTTCTCCCATGCATTTTACACTGGTCTTTTTTCTAAAACAGAGGCAGTCATTAAAGTGAAAGTGGATAGGCTTCCTTTATTAGCTCCCTTTTCCTACCTTCTCTCGTTCTCTAAATAACGCTGTTTTTACAAGCCGCTCGCAGGGCAGCTCGTCTCTGCGCATTTATTTGTTTTCACTGTGCAATGCCATATAATCCCCCTGCTGTCTAAACGCACTGAAAACAGAAAACGAGAAAGCTTAGGAATGGAAAAAAGAAAAAAGGCTGTCAAGAATAAATATCATTACAGTCGGAGTGATTTTTTCACTGTATATGAGGCGTGTGGGAAGGCTGTGACAGGGCGCACAGGCGAGTTAATGTGCAGCGCTGGGCATCTGGAGTCGGGGGGCTAATTGGCCGTGGCAGTGTGGCGGTAGCGCAGCGCGGGAGCTGTACTGCGATGTGATACAGCACAGGGTTCTGCCAGTTAGTGAGGAATTACTAACTCAAGCTTTCCCTGGCTTTTATTTTTCCTCACATTGTTGGAAATTGGATGCAAGACATGCCTGCCTCTCTCTCTGTTTCTTTTTCTATCTCTCTCTGCCATGTGCCATTGCTATCACAAACAGAGCATGGTGTTAAACGATGTATGATAAAACGTGTTTCACCTCGTCAACCCATAGAGACATAAACTTATGGTTGTTTTGTGCATGCAAAATTAACATTTGGGTCAAAGAATGGTAGCAAATAGCACATTTATGGGTTTGTTTGTAAGGTCCATTTGGTTGGGGACTTGAGTGCTTTAGATTTTTGCTCTGAACTTGAAGGCCCTTGGATCACCCATGGTTCACTCTTTAGTTTTGTTAAAGACAAGATACTAAAATTAAAATACAGCCTAGTTAATCTTTTAAAAGTAGTTAGCAACACTGAAAGCTACTAACAAAAGCAGCAAACTACATTGCACCTACAGTACGTAATTATATTATATAAAACTCCTAAATTATATGTAAAAATGTTGAAGAACAGTAGTATTTAACAAAATGTTCCGCTAAAAAAAATCTAAAATGCTATGCACAGACTCAGATTGTTTTATGATTTTTTTGTTAACATTACTTGTCTAAATGACCTGATTCACTAGAATGAATCAGCGTTCCCAGTGCTATATATCATTTGGGTCAAATGATCATTTAGGATGAAACAAACCATTTGGAAAAAAAAAAAAAAACTTTCCAACTCTAAATATGAAAGTGACTGATTCTGATTCACTAGAATGAATCTGAGTTTTGAATGTTATATATGACACACACAAAAAAAAAACATTTAGGATGAACCGATTCACTACAATGATGGAATGGGTTTCCAATTCTATATAAGAAAGAACCATTATGATTAACCAGATCACTAGAATAAACATTTAACTGCTTCTTAACAACTTTTCAGTGCTACATAGAGAGAGAATGATTTAGGAAGAACCAATTCACTAGAGTTTCCAATGCTATACAGTAGTATATAAGAAAAAAACATTTATGATGAACCAGATCACTAGAATACATATAACTTTCATCAACATACAAAAGTGAGAACATTTTAGGATGAACTGATTTGTAATAATGTGCCAACTTTTCAGTGCTACATAGAGAGAGGATGATTTAGGTAGAACCGATTCAATAGAATGAATCAGACTGCCAACACTACATAGGAGGAAGGAGGACCGTTTAAGACGAAACGATTCACTAAAACAGTCTTTCCAATGAAAACTACTGCCACACTTAAATATATTAATCATTTAGTAAAACTAGGCTATTAGTTTATGTTTCCCCAACACTGCTGATTTCTATATTTAGGATGGTGTCAGTAAAGAGCAGTGTTTGTATTCTTGTGTTTTGAGGCATTTCTTTTTGAGTTGCAGCTATGACAGGTTAGGGTCGGTTGTATTCATTTACTCACAGTGTCCAGATGTGTGCGCTGGTGCTTTGCCCTGTCGCTGGAGTTGCTGAATGCTTTCTGACAGCCCGGATGCTGGCACAGGTACGGCTTCTCTCCTGTGTGACTCCGCAGGTGAATCTTCAGATTCTCCAGCCGTGAGAAAGCTTTGTTACACCCTTCAAACTGAGAGAGAGAAATATGACACCAGTAAACATCAACACGTGTGTTTTATAGAAATGCCAGCTTTTTTGAAGGATGATGGTTTACTAGGCCTTGCCTTTAATATGTGCATGAATGAGAACAAAGCTTTTAGGTAAACATTTGAATCAGAAAAAGCCATTCAGATTTGTTTTTCATGTCATTTTTCATGTCAGCACTGGTCTGGCCAATCAGAATCTGTAGACAGTCATTACAGGATGGTCCTCTGCAATCTATCTCTAAGGCATCTGTGTAATGAGGCTTTGAATGTACTGATAGTACATGCTGTCTTGTAATTTAAGGGCCTCATACATCCTATACAATCTCTTAGCTCCACCCCCAAGATGTCAATAGTTCTCCAATCAGGAGCCTCGGATGGGACAGGGTGGCAGATTATGGAGGTGTCAGAGAGAGTGAAACCTGACATGGCAGCTTTGCTCTCTATTGTCCACTGGCCTCTAACTGAGGCCCCCGCTTCTATCGCAGCTCCAGTTTCACTGAAGGAAAGAGCCTTCCATTCTTCTAATGGGCCCTCAGAACATCATTCGGGCTCTGGCCTCCTTCAATCACTCGCAAAAGGCTTGCTATTGAGGCCAGGCCATTTAATACGGGGCGAAACCTTAGACTGCCACACTCGGGATATATTGAGTGACCTGGATTATACAGTGTGTGTGTGTGTATTTGTGTGTGCAGAATTCTTATAAGGTACATTAAAAGCATGTGGAAATGAGAAAAAAAAATAAGTCAGTTTCACACACGTTTTACACACACAGACAAAACTGGATTTGCAAAAAAAGAAAAAGAAAATACTAGTGCTTGTAGTCAACATTGGTTTTGCACAAATGAAATGTCACATCACAGACACTTTGCCGCAAGTCCAGACTCAGACTATTAACCTTAAAAAAAAAAAAATCCATAATAAAAAATAATTATTATGTGTAAAACTATGATAATATAAATAAAGAGTAAACAATTAAATGATTTAGTGTGAAAATTATTTCTCTCAATTTTTCGACGATTACAATATTTTTTTACAGTTTTACTTCTCGAGGAGCTTTAATTTTGTCAATATATGCAAAAGTGTGGAAATATGCCTCAATCGTTTCTATTTAGGATAAACATAAAATGCTAGCAGTGAAAATGACATTATTTTAAAATGAAATGTATTCCTATGCTGGTAATGTACATTTTCAGCAGTCATTATTTAAGTCTTCAGTGTCACATAATGCTTCAAAAACCATTCTATTATGCTAATTGCATATTAGATGCAAAAATTTCTTATGATATTTTAAAAAGTTGTGCTGTCTAATATTTTTGTGGAAACTGTGATACATTTTTTCAGGATTCTTTGATGAATAGAAAGAAATCTTTTGCAGCATTATAAATTGAAAAAATTGCATCCGCTTTTGATCAATTTAATGTGTCCAAACTCAAAAGTGCCAAAAGTTTTATAGTATAAACATCCATAAATCAAACTTCTTATTAAAGTACATAAAAGTTTATATATTACATAAAACAGAATTTATCTACAAAACGAAGTTTTATTGGAGTTCTTATGTCAAGTAGTTAAAGTTGAATTAATTGCAGAGATAAGATGTGGGGTTTGTGAAAGGAATATCAATCCATACTGCAATCGGTCACGCACTTTTACACATTAATTTCACACAATGGAGCGACACAGTGGTTGAGACACTGCATGGGGCTTTTGGACGTGCAAACCTCACAATGTAAACTTGTGCCTGTATTATTCCACAGCATGAAAACTGTCTGAACATACCCACAACACAGAGCGTAATAAAGTCCCTGAAATCCAGGCAAGTTTGAGATATATGCCCTGTACTGACTCCTAAAATACGTCTCGAAACCTTGAGTTTTCAAAACAATGTCCTAAATGTGTGGATTTATGTATAGGGGAAATCATCATTCTTTCACTGCTTTTTTTAACGTAATACAAATTTCAGGCTAAATTGAATTTATGGGTCCACAGAGAGAATCCTGCTAATCGCGTAAAGCCCGCCATTAGCGTGAGGATCGGCTGCCAATGGAACGAGGTGCAGAGCATTTTGGGATACCTTTCAAACACAGCTATGCATTCTGGGATGCCATGCAAACACAGCAATCTGCCAGAGTTTAATCCACATGACTGGGAGGAATTTCTTTCTCTCACTACTCATGTCTCTCATTGTCTCTCCACTTATCTCAGGCTTTTTTTCTACTTTTATAGAACACAACATTCTCTTTTGTATAATAGCGCAAAAATGCATCTGTATTTGCCAAGCACTGAACATTATTTTCCAAATAATTCTAATGCAACCGGTTTTACAACTGACGTCAACATCTATCAAAACATCCCCAAATGTTAACCGAGGAATGTCAAGTTTCTGAGATACACACAGACGTTTATCATAAAAATCAGAGAGAAACGTGAGACTCCAAACACGCTAAATATACGTCGCATTTTAAACCAACCGCTATAAACCAACTATGACAGCTCCTAAGTCTCCACAACCCTTTGATTTTATCTGTAAAAACAGTTTAGCACGCTAATCACATTAATTGCCATAAACGTGTTTAGCTTTCCCCTCTGAAGGCCTGTGTGAGGGTAAACAGAGTGATAACCGTCGAAAGTGGATGGTGGTAAGTCATTTGACGCCATCTTTCCGAAGTGGGCCTCTGGATCTGCTGTATACACACAGAGTGACAGTTCGGGCTGACATTTTTGTCAGGGGCGCACAGCCACAATCATGGATGATTGCGGGCCACGCAGGCTGGCGGAGACCGCTCAACCCTAACCTGATGACTATATGGGAAATGAAGCATGATTGCGGCCGAAAATGTCCAACGAGGCATCGGGCAGCTAAAAGCCCATAGTGTACACAAGCACTCGGAAGAAAAAACAGTTCATTAATACCCTTAAATACCTATAGAATACAAGCCAGCCATTATGGCACACGTAAAAATAAGGCCACGTCGTGTCGCTTATTGACGTCGCACTGCGCTCTGATGGAATGAAATGAACTGAGAGGAAGAGAAAATGTGCTTATTATGGAAATTGCATTCAGGCCACATTCTTTCCCATGGAGTCAAAGGTCCAC